TCTCTTCTGGCCCCTCAATGTCCCAAGTCATCTCTCCCTGGCAGAGTTGAATTAATAATAAAGCATATAATAAATTATGCTTTTATTGGGGTTACACTGGTTAATAAAATTGTATAGGATTTGTATATTGTATTTTGTGTTTACCATCTCAAGTCACGTCTCTTTGCATTACCATTTAGCCCCCCTTTACCATCTCTTGCCTCTCCCCACCTTCCCCTTCCCCTCTGTTAATGATCATACTATTGTCTGTCTATGAGGTGTTTTTTTTTTCCTTAATCCTTTCATCTTTTTCACCCAGCTCCCCTACACTCTCCTCTCTAACAGCTATAAGTCTGTTTCTATTTTGTTAGTTTATTTTTATTAGCTTCCACATATAAGTGAAATCATATGGTATTTGTCTTTCTCTAACTGGCTTATTTCACTTAGCATAATCCTCTCCCGGTGCCCCCAACCTTTCCTTGTATGTTCTCTTTTTAAATGACAGCAGGCCTCTGCATTGGTTAGGATAGGCCAAGTTATGCTGCAGTAACAAATTCACCTCTAATTACAATGCCTTGACACATAATCGATGTATTTCGTCACCATGAAACTTATCCAGTGCAGTTTAGCACGAAGCTTTCTCTCCAAAGAAACTCAGGGACCCAGGCTGACAAAGCCTCCACAAACCTAGAATGTTCTGGGAAACATAGAAACTTCATGTGCTCTTCTTGTTTGGGCCCAGAAGTGATACATATCACATCCCCTCCCAGTCTATTTTCCCAAATAAATCACCTGGCTCTGCCTAGTGCACAGGAGGAAGGATATGAGGGCAGCATGTGGTGGTCCATGAGCAGGATATGCCCCTGCCAAGCGAGTAAAGCATGAGTGCATAGAAATGCTCAGTAAAGGCCTGTGCAGAGTGGGATGCAGTGCCAATTGATTGTCTCTCTATTCTGAACACAATTTTTATGCCTGGAGGGCTTATTAATTGACTGAAGGCCAGACTTTGGCCTTGGTGTGATATTAGCTCTGTATTATGTTTGTCTTGTTTCTCTTATCAGATGATAAATGCCTTTCCAATATTAACAAATAACTTCCTCAAGCGGCAGGGATAGAGGAAAGAGCTCTGGGTAGGAGTGGAGCTTCATCTCTGGCAAGTCGCATGATGTCGGGCTAATTATTTAACCCCTGAATTCAGAAGAGCCTTGAATTTCAGAGCAAGGATACAGGACTTCCTTAGTTGAAATACCAACTCTGTCACCCACTATATGTGCAACTTAGGGAAATGGAAACATAGGCTCTCAAAGCCTCAGTTTTCTTATCTGTAAAACTGAGATGATAAAGTCTGTATCTTAAATGGTTGTTGTAACCGTAACGTGTGCAGACTTGTTTTGCCCAGCCCCTGGCACTCAATAAATGCTCTTCCTGGCTGTTCTCTGAACCCTAGTTTCCAAGGCTTGCAACTATAAATCCTGCCATGCCAATGTAAAAGAAACAAACATCTAATGCAGGCTGGGCACAGAGTAGGTGGCTAGTAGATATTTATTGAAATGAATGAAATATAATCAGTAAGAACAGGAGGCTTTTCTAATTGTTTGGCACCAGATATCCTTCCCGTGGATATGCCTGTTTGCATTTCAAGTAAAAAGCGCTCAGAATAATTTCAGGCACATGCAGGCCATCCCTCCTGGGGGCTCAAGACAATCTCCATGGCCTGAGAAACCGTGCAGCTCCAACCCTCTTGGCCCCCATTTATCACGCCTCTTGTACCCCTGTCCATGTGGTAGCTGAACCAGTGGCCCTGCTCTGTGCTTGGTTGTGTTAGTATCTCTGGAGATAAACTGTTGTCTTCAAAAGAGGAAGCGAGCTGTTATTTCTCTGGCCTAACTCATTTTTCTGTTCGAGACAAGGCAGAGCGAATCATATTTCTCTCTGAAGTCTTTATTTCTCTGTCAATAAAAACATGGTTAGCTACCTGGCTGGGCAGGGCTTAACATTGGCACACTCATTTGGTCAATCCTATTTCTATTTCTCTATTAACCCTGGTTTGGTGTTGGACAGTTGAAATGCTGGCTCCTTGAAGATCAGAACTCTCAGGTACAGTCAACAGCCCAGGGCTCTTAATTTGGTTTGGACCCTTGTCCTCTCATTCTTTCGACAAACATTATTATTTGTCCTATGAGGAACAAAGAGAGGCACTGGAGGTGGTTGGGGATGGCTTAATGGAGAGGGAGGTAAGAGTTTGATCTTTGGAGTCAGATTGCCCAGGTATGAAATGTGCCTTCACCAACGTAGGATGTTTCTATACCTATTTATGTTTATATTTTTTTAAATAATGGCTCTAAAGTACTTGTCATGGTGCCTGAAAGGAAGTAAGTAGACAGTAACTTCTAGCATTGATAATGAGTATTCAATGTTCACTGAGGATTTAAAAGCATCACTTACATGCCAGGAGCCTTTTTTGAATATTTGGAGCTCATCAGGAAACAAAAATCCTTGTCCTCATGGAGCTTACAGGATGATGATGGTACTGAGGATGGTTCCTGTCCTCTGGGATCTTAAAATCTATTGGGGAAAATAAAATAAATTCACGTGTTGCCATGGCCTTACCCTGAGATTCTTGCAGCTCAATGAATGTCCCGCACAGTGAGATCAATGAGTCAAAAAAAAAAAAAAAGCTCTATTCATTGTTAGACGTCTACTGCCTGGTTTTTCTGAGTGTATTAAGTTTCTTGTATTAACTTTTCAATTTCATGATAGTGGGTTGTCTATCATGGGTGAGAAAGATGGCTCATGGAGGCTCCATTAAACCAGAGAAATATGTGGGGTGTTGTAGGACAGAGTTCACTCATCCATTCATTCAGAAATATTTCTCCAGCAACGAGGAGGTAGCAGGAAGAGTGCCAAGCACTGTGGGGAGCACAGAGGTGAGTGATGAGTCACACTTCACCAGAGCCAAAGCCACACATCAGTGGCTATTTCCCTTAGGTTGTTGTGTAGCTGCTCATGTTTCTATCCCCCTTCTCTACAATGGGGTCCCTCCCTTAGGGAAGAGGAGGAGGGGCTGCTACTAATGGAAGTGTGTTTGGGCATAGAACAATTCACTGGAACACAGACTCAGAAAAATAAGGGAAACTGTACCATCCTCTGCCATCTGACTGTGAATAATACCAATGTCTCGAGAGAAGAAAAATCAATTACGTGAACACCTGACCTGTAATTCAGTGAGAAAGGTTCCACCCTTGAGTCAATACCTTCTACAGTCGATGTTTTGAGGATTTGTCATGAATGACAAGAGAAATTTAGTATTGCAGTGATTTGAGGGTTGGCTGGTTACTCTTAGAAGCCGTATTTGTGTCACAATCAACTCCTGGTGTCACCTTGTCAAGGTCTTGTGCTTAAGGACAGGAGGAGGTCTCTGGGATGAAGAAGATCTCCTGAGTGATGAGCCTGTGAGGGGGGAGGAGAGTGCCATCTATTCTGCAGGCAGTTAGTTGCATGCGTTCCTCCAAACAACCTAGTAGAGGTGACAGGAAAGAGGTGTGTGTCTTAGGTTCCTCAGTGGTAAAATGGGGCAAGAGACTTTGCCAAGGTCTCAAAACTAGCAAGGGTCAGAGAGGCATCTAAAACTTAGGTCTCTAGGCTGCAAGGTGAGTGCCTTTTCCATCACGCCAGCTGGCCTACTACTTGTGACGTGGACTTGAGTAAGAAACTTCTGGATAAGTAGATGATTTCTCAAGAGCACTAGTTACTCAAAAATGAGAATGAGGAAAGCTAAACAGGCTGCTTTACTGCAAGACATCTCAGTGCTTTTATAGGCTCAGCCAAGTGATTTCCTGAAGCTATTCAAAACAGGGAAAAGGGATCCAGTGACCTCTTCAATTACGTAATTCCTTCTTCATGGATTACATTGTAAAAGGCACTGTTCTAAGAAATGTGCTTGCAGAAACTATGCTTTATTTTGCGATTTTCTTCTTTAGTTTCTTCTAAAAACTGCACACAGACATTGCTATGAACCAAGGAAGACTTTGGAGGGATGGTAGACCAAAGATCTGTTTCTGGCCTGGGTAACTGTCATATCCATCCCTCTGTTCTTACACTGGTCTGTCCCCCTAAGGCCCAATATCCCCACTGAAAATGGCTGGCCTGGAGGTCAGAAGACCCTGCCACCTCCCTGCAGTGTGACCTTAGGCAGGTCCATTTCCCGCATGCATCCTCAGATTCCTGTCCTGAAAAGGGTGCATGAGACTGACTGGGGCACCTCCTTAAGAAACAGAATCTTGAGCCTCACCCCAGAGATTGCAATTCAGTAGGTTTGTGGTGAGGCCCTGGGGTCTGTGAGTGTCATGACAGGTGGTTGTGGTCGTGTGAAAGCCTGTCTACATGAGGGCCCAGGAGAGATTTATTTAGACCCGTGAGGACCTCATGGATGAGGTGATCAGTCAGGTGAGCACATCCAGCATACTGCCTGACTCTCTGAGAAGGTGACCTTCTCCCAGCCCCCACCTTCTTCTTACCCACCCTGATTATCCTCTTCTGATTCACCACTAGATGGTAATTAATCGCTAACAGCCCTCTTAGGGGAGAGAAGACTCCATTTGTTTATCTACAATTCACTGCCCATTACAAGGCACTAAAAATAACCATAAATCGTGTCACACTTCCAAGGGTGTATTCTGGAAATACCAGCATGATAGGATTATAATTTGCTTAAAAGCTGCTTTGATACCATGGGTTCTAGAAGAGAAGTTGGCCCTTTTAGAAAAGTTTTTCTGCTAAACTCAGAGTTACATAATTCTAAGCTCTCTTTGGAGGCAAGCTGCCAACAGTTTGGGTTGCTGAAGAAACAATCATTTTCCAATTTCACTCCAAACCAGGCGTGGTTAATAAACTTTAAAATTAGGGCGATTTCCTAGTGAACATATATTACTTTGGTAATCAAACATAAGTTATTAAAAAAAAAGTCCAGAGAACTCAAGTAGGACTGGGAATATGAGAGTATTGAAATCTTTTCCCCACAGGGCCAACTGGCAGAGAAAGTTCTGAGGATGAAAAGTTCTTGGTGGAAGAGGTTCCCATTCCTGCAACCAAGGTGACCTCCTTCACCATTTTTCCAATGGCAGAGGGTAAGTACAAGCAAGGGCTATGACACAGCTGTGCTTCTTAGTTTCTTGTGCTCATATCGTATACATGCTCTTTACCTTGCCTTTTCATGTAACGTCTTAACACAAATGCTTCCCCAAGTAGCTACAAAGCCTTGCAACATGATATACAGTGGCTGCATTGTTCTCCATCCCACAAAACACTATAGTTCATTTCACCATTGCCCTCTTGTTGGACATTTTGGGTGTTTCTATTTTTTTTCCCTCTTGTAGAAAAATATACTGTGATGAACTCTCAGTGCATAGTTTTCTGTGTTTAAAATTATTCTAATATAGATGGGAGTTCTAACCACAGCAATGGAAATTGTCCTCTTTCTCAAAATGTTAGGGGGAGTTTTTGAGGACAAAGCTGGTCTGACATCACATCCTGGGAGGGGTCTGACTTTAAAAATTTATGAAAAGAAAAACAGCTAAGTAACTCTAGATATAAAATCAGGATGCAACTAACTACTAATTGAGTTCTGCATGTTTAATTATTTAAATCTTTTGCATCTGTATCATCTTTTACTCATTTGTTACAAAATAGCTAAGATAAAAGGGTCACCCTATTTAAGCCAGAAAGTCTAATTCATGCTAGTAACAGTGACATCTTTTATTATATTCAACTTACACATTAGACATGAAAATACTCCGAGAAAAGTAATTTCTCATGTGGCCATTACTACCCACTAGAAGAGATGTTTAGTTATTATCTGGCCATTGTTCAGACTAAAGAGCCAAACACATCTTGGAGGAGGGGGGTCTAAGTTCACAGGGCCAAATAGAGGCCATACCGATGTCTGGGGCTGCATTTCTTGATTCCCAGACCTGTGGTTAATGGGAATGCTTTATCCCACTACCACAAACCAGTCTTCATGCTTCTATTTATCTCTGCATGCAATAAAGGGCACAGAGATTGAATCTAAGAGGGGGCCAATATGCTGAAAATACATTTAAAAATTTTCTGCTATCAAGAAGCTACCATTATAGTGGGAGACTCGTAAGTTCACTGTATTACCTACAATCCCTACAATTTGAATATGCATAACTCTGAAACAGCAGTTAAATACTGAGGACACACAGAAGGGACCTAACTAATAAGCAGGAAAGGCAAGGAAGGCTTGCCAAAGTAGGGACATCTGAGATTATCCTTAAAGGAAAAATAGGTTTACAAGCCAGGGAATAGGTGTGTGTACTGGGGAAGGACATTCAACCTGGAGAGCACAGAAGGGGCATAAACAGAGAAGTGGTAAAGGGCATGGTCTCTTCTGGAGATGGTAATATTAATTCAGTACAGTCGGCTTCTAAGGCTTGGAGGATGGATGAATGGGAGACAAGGCAATAGGTACTGGACACTAGTGGGCTTGCAGGTCATTCTAAGAAGTTCGGACTCAGAGCACTGGGTGAAGGGAGTCAAGAATGTTTTGCAAGTTATGTAGGAGGGGTGTGTGTGTGTGTGTGAGAGAGAGAGAGAGAGAGATTTTTGCAAATGACCTTACCTGTGAATGAGGGTCGAGAATATACTGGGGGATTGACATTTGTAGCTGGGAGATATTTATGAGGTCAGTGCAAGGAGGCAGGTGAAGGATGAGGATGTAGTCTAAGGCAGGAATGGACAACCAGGATGGAGAGAAGAGGCCAGATGTAAGACACTAATGGAATTGAGCGTCTCTTCAATGTGGGGAGTAGCCAAGAATTGGCAACTGAGGATAAGGTTAAGATTTTTGTTAGGGAGAGTGAGTGGAAAACGAGAGCTGGGAAAGCAGTTTGTGGGAAGGGGGATAAGAACGTGAGTTACCTTTGTGATGTTCAAAGGGAATCCAAGTGGTTGTGTGGCAGCTGGAGCTGTGAGCCCAATCACAGTCTATATAGTTGAAGATGTGGCATCATCCAGAGAGGACAGGAAGAAGGAATTAAGAAAAGAGGAAGGAACCACAGCTGGAAAATGCTGACCTTCATTAAAAAGGACCCAGTCAAGGAACCTGAGAGGGAAGAGAATTTGTGATTTCTCTGCCTAAAAATTTCCTGCTGGAA